CGAGCGTTCCGGGGCTCCCCGCCCTCGCCGGCACGCGGTGGCGTCGCTGTTTTGATTTGTGACTCCGTGACGACACAGGATGTTGAGCACCTCTTCATGTCCCTCCGACCCTTGAACTATGTGGGGCTCAGGCACTAACCCCCTCGTTGCAGCCGAAAATCCACGGATGAGCTTGGACTCCCCGAAAACTTCAGTCATCCCTCTGTATCTGGGGGGAGTTAGTGCCAGGACCCTAAATCCACGAGTCCCGCATAGAACGTGACACAGAACAGAGCGTGCGGTCAGCGCCTCTCCCCGACGGGTGCCAACCGCAGATGGAAAATACCGTTTTGACCGGGATCAGCCGCATCCGCGGGCGCGAAGCCCGGACGTGGAGGGCCGACCGTGTTTATTGGAAAGAACCCACGTGTAAGGACCCATGTTCCTCAAAGATCAGCCGTGTGTCTTCTTTGGTGACCTGTCTGTTCAGCTCTCCTGCCCGTTTTCCGGTTGGGTCGTTGGCTTTCGTGCTGCTGGGTTTCAGGAGTTCTCGGGTATTTGGATAACAGCCTGCTAGTGTCTCGTGCACCCCTCCTCCACGTCTGCGGTTTGCCTCCTCATTGTCTTCGGCAGAGAAGTTTTAAATTCCAGTGCAGTCCAACTTGCCACTTATTTCCTTCACGGATGGCGCCTCTGGCGTTGCTCCCAGAGGCATCGCCACACCCAAGGGCCTCTTGGCTCCCCCGGAGTTTCGACAGTTTCGTGTTTCACACTTAGGTCTGTGATCCCTTCCGAATTAGTTTCTGTGAAGGGCGCAAGGTCTGAGCTCGGACTTTTTTCTCTTCTGCAGGTGGATGTGGTTATTCTGGAACCGTTTGTTGAAAAGACCGTGTTCTCCCCCCCGACTTGCCTCTGCGCTTCTGTCCCAGACGACTGGCCACGTTTACGCGGGTCTCGCTCTGGGCTCCCCGTTCTGTCCCTCGACGTGTCCGTCTGTCCCGTCACCAACACCACGCTGTCTTGATCACGACAGACTTGCAGTAAGTCTGGACGTCGGACTTGGTTCCCCTTCAATGTCGTGTTGGCTGTTCTGCCTGCGTCTCTTGCCGCTCCGTATAAACTTTGGAATCGGTTTATCAGTATTCACAGGATGACTTGGTGGTTGTTTGTTTGTTTGTCTCGTTTTTATTGGGATCGTGTAGAATCTGCAGATGAAGTTGGGAAGAACTGACATCTTGACAATGATATAGCCCAAGAACGTGGACTATCTCTCCATTTATAGTTCTTTGATTCCGTTCGTTAGAGTTTTCGCAGTTCTCCTTGTATACATATATATGTCATACATTTTTGTTAGGTTTGTTTGCTTCATTTTTGGAGTACTAATGTAAATGTCATCGTTTTTAAATTTCAAATTCTAGTTATACATTGCTGGTCTATAAAGTGATGGGCTACAGTCGCTTATTGGTTCCAAGAGTTTTTCTGGGTAATTCTTCTTTTCTGCACAGACAATCATGTTTTCTGTCAATAAAGGCAAGTGTATTTCTTCCTTCTCAGTCTCTATGCCTCTTATTTTATTTTCCTGTCTTATTGCTTTAGCTAGGATTTTCAGTACCGTGTTGAAAAGGAACAGCAAGAGGGCATGTGTGTCTTGCTCCTGACCTCAGTTCTGCACTGTCCATTCTCCTGACCCCGGCGGGGAAGCCTCAAGGTGCTCAGCATCAGGAGGACATCAGCTGGAGCTTTCTGCGGATGTTCCTCGCCGAGGCGAGGACGCCCCCCTCTGCTCCTCGGTTGCTGAGTTTTCACCATGAGCCGGTGCTGGATTGTGTCAGAAGCTTTCTCTGTATCAAGCGATAGGATCGGGCAGTTTTTCTTCTTTGGCCTGTTGCTCTGATGGATTTACAGCGATGAGTCGTCTCCTGTTGAAGCAGCCTCACACGCCGGAATAATTCCCACTTGGTTGTGGTGTGTGATTCTCTCACGTTGCTGGATGCGACATGCTAACGTCTCGCTGAGGGTTTCTGCATCCGTGTTCACGAGACATCGCTCTGTGGTTTTTCTCGTGCTGTCTCGGTCTGGTTTTGGTATCGGGGTAACGCTGGCCTCGCCGGATGAGTTACGAGTATTCCCTTCACTTCCGTCCTCCGAAAGACTAGAGAATTGGTACAATTTAGTCCTTAAATGTTTGGTAGAATCCAGCAGGGACCCATCTGGGCCCAGAGCTGTTTTGGAAGGTTATTGATTATTGATTCGATGTCTTTAACTGATACAGACCTCCTCGGATTGTCTGTTTCTTCCTGTGTGAGGTTGGCAGGTTGCACCTCTCAAGGAGTCGGGCCACTTCACCTAGGTCACCGAGTGTGCGAGCACAGAGTTGCTCATAATGCGCTTTATCACTCTTTTACGTCCACGGAATCTGTACTGATGTCCCCGCTTTCACTTGTGACATTAGCAGTTTGTGTTCTCTCTTTATTCTTAGTTGGTCTGGCCAAAGGCTTATCAATTTTACTGATCTTTTCGAAATTCCAGTTTTTGGTTTCATTTATTTTCTCTATTGATTTTCTGTTTTCAGTTTCATTGATTTATGCTCAATTTTTTCTTCTCTTCTGCTCACTTTGGGCTTGACTTGTTCTTTTTCTCGGTTCTCAAGGTGGAAGCCCAGAGACGTGTGATGAGCTCGTCTCGTCTACCAGACGCGTTCGCTGCTGCAAATCCCCCCCTGAGCTCTGCTCAGTTTTTTTTTCAGTCTTGTTCTCTTCGCTTTTCAGTTTCCAATGATTCTGCTGACACCCCCTCTAGCTCAGAGGTCTTTCCCGAGCCGTGTTCCGTCCACCGATGAGCCCGCGAAAGGCATTCTCCATTTCCGCGGCAGTGTTTCCGTGTCTAGCGTCTGTTTCTGGTTCTTTCTGAGGGTTTCCGCCCTCCGCTCACACGCTCGTGTGTTCTGGCATGCTGCCTGCGTCACCCTACAGCCCTCGCTCATCAGAGTCCCGTGTGACAGGTCCAGCATCCCTGCCACGTCTGCTTCTGATGCCAGCTCTGTCTCTTCAAACTGTGCGCTGTGCCCTGTCATCTTTCCTGATAGCCGGACGTGGAGTACCAGGCGGAAGGAGCCGCAGTGACTAACCCTGGTGACGTGGCATCAGGCGCGGGACGGGGGCTCCGTGGTCCCGCCACCCGGCTCAGGCTTCGGCGAGCCCGCACCCTGCTCCCTGACTCCACGCATGCTTCTCTGTTCTCGTCCCCCCCTTCGCTGGCGCCAGTCGGAGCTGAGTTTCTCTTCCCCCAGGTTGGTCAGGCTCTGTAGCCACCCCCGAGGGCAGGCCTGGATAAGGACGGAATGGTCTCTCCGTCACAGGGGTTTCTCGTAGATATTCAAGCTCCCAGAGATCAAAGTGAAGAAAGTGTGAGGGGGCCCCCAGAACGGACCCCCCTGCAGTTTTGAACTGGGGGCGTCTTGCACTCGGAACCTCCAGCGGGTGGTCACTCAGCCGGGCTCCGGGCCCCTCCTCCGGGTCGCCTGGGGCCTGTCAGTCTCTCAGCTTCGGGGCAGAGGTCCGCCCCGGGACCTCAGGAGCGGGGATTTCTCAGTTCGTGCAGCTCGTCCTTAAGGTGGAACGGAGACTCCCGAGCTCCTTGCCCGCCGCCGGAACCGAGGCCATCTTCGCTTTGGGATGGTTGTTCGCGCTCTTTTCTCCACGTTTCCCATGCGCACTGAAACCTCCGCAGCGGGAGCCAGGCCTTCCCTCCGCCAGTGGCGCCTCGGCGGGGCCCCGCGG